CACACAATAATTTTTAATATTGAATGGATCATAATTGTTGCTTGTTATTTTTTTAGAACTCAAATCCTTCAAATACCACTGTCCACTGTTAATGTTTATTAATTTATTGCTCAGTATTTTGAAACTTTTTTTGGCAGCCTACATTGATCTTAGAAATCATATTCTTCATGGATTCACCATAGATGCAACCATATGGTTTGGTAGGATATGGTCTTGGAAATGCAACCATATAAGATTTCAACTGTAATTTCACCATCTATGCATGTATTCTTGCTAATTAATTAATTTGGCATCATTGGACTTCTGGTCTGAACTTTCCTAACTCAGTGTGCAAAATAAAGCAAATCTCTCTCCATCTTCATCTAAATAATGTGTTTTAGATTAGAAAATGTCTGCCAAGTTGCCTCATACTGTATTAGGAAGTTCTCTTAGATGAAACTTATGAGTTAGTTTCAGAAGATGTCTGGCTAGATGCTTTATGAATTTGTTTGACGCTACACAATAAGATTTTGGTTCCTGAAAAGAAAAATACTACCTCATGGAGATGGAATCGATTAGTGCTGATCAAACCAGAATTTAGCATCAATGAGCACATATTGTAGATTAAGAATTTATTTTATGGAGGTGCTTAGATGTTTAATAACTCTGGTCATGATACAACTTTCTTTGTTATTATTCTATTTACTTTTTGAGGAAGCAGTACTTATCTTCCATTCTAGGGAAAATAGAGCACCAGCAGCAGCATCTCCAACATCTCGAAAGTTTTCATTTAGTGTTGCCGCCGCTATGATTTCTGGTTTTGATAAGCACCTATGTTTATCAGTAGTTGAGGCTGCACAGTTGTTTGAGGAGGCAAGGGCAGTTCTGGAGTAGGAGTGCGGTGCTTCTCATCCTGATACTGTTGGTGTGTACATCAACCTTGCTGGAATCTATGATGCCATGGAAAGGTCGTGTCATAACTTGTTCTTCTGCAACCTAGAGTCATTTTTAGCAACTAAGACAACAGCACAACACTTAGCTGGTGCTTGAAAGCTCCAGGAGCTATTGCTTTTGGACACACCTCTGCTGCTGCATCAGGTTGCTATTGAATTTACCTGACCATGCTTGTCTGGTTGTTTCGTTTAGCTATTTTGGGGTTGCACATATTATACTTGCTACTAGACACTGACCATGCTTGCATTTTCATCCATAGTGAACAGATAGTTTCAGATGCACTTCCAAAGATTGTTCCTTATGTGCTCATAAACCATCGTGAGGTTTATTTGTAACCTTCGTGCGTATTCCCACTTTGGAAAAGCCAGAGCATCTAATTTCTACTGTTACTTTCAGGAAAGAGAGAGAGCGTGCAAGCTTCATTCGAGATCATCAATCGAGGCCTCCCACTACACTGACCTACTATAGGCTCTTTTAGATAGTGACAAGGTAAGATAAGTTTTCCTTCTTACTGCCATATAGATGTTAGATTTGGGGTTCCATACCTAAAATTGTTAATGATAGTCATGTTCTACTCATCCTAGCACATCACACGGAGATGTTGTATATACACTTGTGTGATGGCATAATAAAAATTGAACATGTGTTATATTATTGTTATAAAAATGACACTTTGAGTGTTTTGTTCATAATATTTCGTTTTGTAACCATTCATAACTATTACACGTGTATGTTCTCAAAACCATGAGTTTTGTCGACTTTCCCCACTTTTCTCATGTGCCAATGTGGGATCAACCGAATTAGCACCTGCATAATTACAAACATAAATTACTTGAATAAAACCAACGAAGCAAGTTAGCGATAATAATGAACAATAGTGCTAAACAACACCATACCAGTGGTCGTGGGATGGCACGATCGTAGTGGCGTTGGTTCCGCGCATTCAGGAGGATAGCTCCTTTGTATCTCCCATTGTTGCACCAGGGTCATTAGTTTGTGAGCATGAAAGAAATTGATATTGGAGATTTCTTTCTACCAATATAAAATATTATCTTAGCCGCATCACGGAAAGGTCTATAAAGTAGAGTTTGTGAGCCTGCGACGCCGCGCACTCCGTGACTGTGTTAAATTCATAAACTTTGCTTTTGGATTAAATGTCACTTTAACGTTGGTATTTAATTTTTACAGTATTATTATCTTATCGTGCGATCCATGTGTTTTTAGTACAAAATATTAGCTATCCTGTAACAACACACGTGTACGCTACCTAGTAATGTATCTAATTAAAAAGGTCAAGAAGTCTTATAATTTGGAAAACTGTGGGAGTATAATTGATAAGCACTACTGGGATCCTAACTCCAAACTCACCGCTAATAATTGTACTGGCTCTCACTGACACTGAGCGAGTGAGAACAGGAGGAGTAGGTGAAAGCGGCTGGTGGGCGCTGGCACCTCGAACTGCAACAAATGGGTATCCGTCTCCGCCTGCTGCCTGCCCCAACACCCAACTGCTACCTCCTTCCCAATCCATCTCCGCTAGCCACCTCTAGGCTCTAGCTCTGACGATGGATGGACACATGTATACACCGACGACGGCCACCACCCATGCATGCATGCAGCGCGCGGTCACCATCGTCCTCCTCATCGATCTCCTCCTCGTCACTAGCTCATCACTCACACACGACGCGTACGACGACCCAGCAGGCCGACGATCGAAATAAACCGTATTTAAAGACCAAACACCCCTTTGCACTCCATCCCCAGTCCCCACCACCCACCCACCTGCAGCTCCCTCACTCTCGTTCCCGGCCGCACAGTGCAGCAAGCAACAGCTACTCAGCTAGCGCGAGCAAACACAGGCCGACGACATGGCTCGCCGCGCGCAGCTGGTGGTGGCGACGGCTGTCGTGGCCGCGGCGGTGCTGCTAGCGGCAGCAACCTCCTCCGAGGCGACCGTGACGTGCGGCCAGGTCAGCTCAGCCATCGGGCCCTGCATCCCCTACGCCCAGGGCAGCGGCAGCGCCCCCTCGCCGGCCTGCTGCAGCGGCGTCCGGAGCCTCAACTCGGCCGCCAGTACCACCGCTGACCGGCGCGCCGCCTGCAACTGCCTCAAGTCCGCCGCCGCCAAGGTCGGCGGCCTCATCACCGGCAACGCCGCCAGCATCCCGGCCAAGTGCGGCGTCAGCATCCCCTACACCATCAGCCCCTCCATCGACTGCTCCAGGTCTGCATCTCTACCGGCCATATATCATCCATCATGCATCTCTGTGACTATAACAGGTGGGATTATTAATGACGACGTGCATGCATGCATGTAACCATGGGCAAAAATAACCCACAACCGAACCGAAATAACTGGAACCGAAACCGAATTAATCGAAACCGAAAATTTCGGTTCCTAGTTCGGTTCCCGGTTCTCAGAAACCGAAATAATCTCGGATAATTCGGTTCCAGACCTCGGTTAACCGAACAAAACCAAAGAACCGAATATGTACATATTGGCCCAATAGCAAAAGAGGCCCAGCCCAAATTCCAAACCTAGGCAGCCCCTCAGTTCCCATCCCCACCACCCAGGCGCCCACCCGACCTTTCCCGGTCCCCAGTCCCACGCCGCCGCCTCCCCTGTCCCAGGTCCTCCCCTGTCGTCGGTGTCTGCTCTGGAGGTCGAGGCCGAGTCCGGTGCGTGCCCGCTGCCCTGGAGGCCGAGGTATGGAGCCACTGCCGCTCGCTGCCTAGAGGCCGAGGCGCAGAGCTGCTGCCGCTCGCTGCCTTGAGGCCGAGGCATGGGGCCATGGCCCTTGCGGCCTGGACTGGAGGCCGAGGCGCCGAGCTGCCGCCGCTCACCCCCTGCGCGCGCAAGCCCTCCACCGTCGCGCCTGCCTGGAGTCCTTTGCCTCTGCCGTCGGCAAGGACTCGGGAGGCCAGATCTGGACGAAGGGGCGACTGCCGCCGTTTTTTTTCATTTTCCCCCTTTTCTTCCCTTCTATTTCGCTGATGTAATGTATGGCTCGGTTAGTTCGGTTCTAACCGAAACCGAACTAACCGAGACCGAGTTTCCTCGGTTCCAAGTTTCCTAGCTAACTGATCGGTTTCAGTCTTATGCTAACCGAATTTTATAAAGAACCGAGGAACCGAACCGATCGGTTTCGGTTAACCGAATGACGAGGGCGACATGCATGTACTGACTGGAGTTTGTGCTTGGATCATCATCATATATATGCAGGGTGGGCTAGCCGACGACGCAGGATGCCCCGGATTCACTCCAATAACCTCTGCTGGCTGCTAGCTAGACACAACATATCTATAAGATGATGAGTCCATGAATAAAATCTCTCCGTCGTGTACAATAATATGTACGCTGTATTGTACGCCTGCTTGGTGACATAGCATATCTATGTCAGAAATGCTAATTAGGGACACATCCAGAGGGTCATTAGTGACGCGGAAAAAACGCGTCACTTACATTGCGTCTGTGATGTGAAGAGATTAGTGATGATGTGAAGATAGCAGCAACACGTGTTGAGAAAACGCGTCACTGATGTGACATAGCAGCGAAGTGTAAAAACGCGTCACTGATGTGAAGATAGCAGCGACACTGTTGAGAAAACGTGTCATTGACGTGACATAGCAGCGACGCGTGTTGAGAAAACGCGTCATTGATGTGAAGATAGCAACGACGTGTGTGGAGAAAACGTGTCACTGATGTCGAGATAGCAGCGACGCGTGTTGAGAATACGCGTCACTAATAACAATTACAAAAACAAAAAAAAAGAAATCTAGATGCACGGTGTACATTTCTAAACCCCATGTTTTCACAAAATGGTACATTTCAGCTATTAAAACAACTCTGCACAGATAGTTCACAGTACACAGTACACTTGGCAATAAAAGGTCTGAAAAATTTCTCATGATCAAAATATATAATAGTAATATGGTTCACGGTAAGTTTTTTTTAAAATAGTTCACAGTACACAGTAAGTTCTCATGATCAAAATACATAACAATCTATTAAATTGTAAGTGATTACATAGAGTATCCACCAGATCTATGGAAATGTGACGGTTGCTTTATAGAATAAATGGCAATACATATACCTTTCCTCTCAGCTCAATGTAGGCCAACTGCTCCCTGGCTACAACAAAACAACAGGTAGTTGTTAAGTCTAGAGGTTACTCTAATGTATGAAATGGCAATACAGATACTCTAATGAGAACCAGTTTAGAAAATTCAGTTCTGAATCCTACTCAGATGCATGTGTTTCACGAAAATGTGGTTACTCAATTTTTGACACTGCCATGGCTTAATTAAGATTGTGCACAGCCATGCACACAAATATACTTCCTAGCATATAAACCTACTGTCAATGAATATGAAAATAACACCTTCAGCAGTATTATCACTAAGACAACCCAACTATTGATTGAGATTAGAAGTTTTGGTCCTTAGTAAGAGCAGCAAAGCATATAAGGAAGAAGGAAGCAATCACTAGCTGATTAAAGGGTTGTGCAGAACACTATAATGTTATAGTTATCATTCATGACTACTCCAGCTATTTATCTATCACATGGTTTTAGTAATTGGAATTTAACAGGCTATTTATCTACCAAATTTATGTGTTCCTCTCTGTCAAATTTGGCACCAAAAAAACCAATCTGGCTCAGGAAAATAATTAGAACCTGATGATAATCTTAATAAGTACAATACAGTGAACACAATAAGGATTGCAATTGCAGACAGGCTTACATCTGAGAACAAAAATACTCTCACCTATCTTCCCTGGTGCTTCCTTTTCTGCACGAAGTACCTAAACAACAGAAAATAAAATACTTGAGTTAGCTACCAAAATATTTGTGTGTGTGTGTGTGTTGGGGGGGGGACCAAATATGTGTTTCATGGCTTAGTTTTAAGGCCTAATTTATGATCTCAAATTGCACAGGATTAAAGCACAAGGTGAAAATGGAGTTCTTGAAGCAGTAAGGCCAACATTTATGAGAAGAGTATATCAGAACATACATGTGCTGCAAAACTAATGACAGCCAAATAGAGAAGTGACTACAAGGGCATGCTACATTGCTTAGAACTGTGATGTAATTCGTTACTCACATACTCAACAAATGCTTAGAGGATACTTCACTGATAACATCAGAACACAACAACCATATATATATATATATGGTTCAGGATCATGCTAATAAAATGGGAAAATATAGAAAATACTTTACAACCAGATAATGCAGTACCTGTCCAAGAATTACTAGTGACTAAAGCTTGAAATGTGGCCGCAAATATTTAGCCGCTCAGCATCAAGAATGCAAGGTTAAATTGTAGTAAGTAATCAATTTATTGTAACTTACTGATCAGCTCTTGAAAATTAAAAACCAACCAGTCAGCTCCGCAGGTTGCCGAGCCTGCAAGGGCACGGCAAATGAATGTAACTGTATACATTTTTATTTTTGTACAGTATTATAGATAAAATTGTACACTGATATATTAGAGAAATCTTGTATCATTAATCTGAATACACTTTGCTAGTTATTTCTTTCTCTGAAATATTTACTAAAGAACAGCTGCGAGATGTCAATAGCCTCAAATCAATTTTTTTTGATAGGCCTTAAGCAAAATTAACTCTTTGACCCACTCATTGTTACATCCTGGAATATTTTAGAAGATACAGCATAGAAAATAGAACTTGTTTAGAAGCGAACTTGTTTAAAAGTGCAATGCAATACAGCATAGAAGATACCTCCTGAAATATTTTAGATACAGGAGGCAGGCCACCATTAATCCTAGAGAGGAGCCTGAACATCCTTGAAAGATCTTCAACCTACAGTAACGAATATATCATAAAAATTTCAGTAAGATTATACCCTATCAACTCTTGGCATATATAGGCATGTGATTCTATCTATCAAACTTTTTCATCACAAAGAAACACTTAGCATACAGAGTTCTGTTTCTTCAATTTGGTCTATATACGTAGCTAGCAATTCTCCTTGCACATCCTGTAAGTATTTTTTGTTACAACAGTGTAATAATTTCAGTTCCAAAGAAAATTACTGCACTCGATCTGGTTAGAAACACCATTCATGTAATGATAATAAAAAGTGAGATAAATTAAAAAAATGGCCTGATACAAACCTCCATCAAACTCGGTTCAGTATTAGCATGAATGCTCAAGACCTCTTATATGGAAAAGCAGTATATGTAATACTCATGCACTGAGTCTTAATGCGAAAAAATAATAATAATAGTAACACTAAGGCCTAGGTTTAGTTAATTGTCATGATTAGTCATGGGTTAATGCATTTTATGCCTAATTTAATGCTTAATGTTCTACATTAAGCCAAGTTCATGCCTTAATTAGACCCTGTTGATGATGTCTTATGCTAAGACGGTGCATATTAAGCCACTAGGGTTCGGATTAGCATGTAGGAGGAGAATTTGCAAATCACGGCCAAATTGAAACTTTCCCCCAAATTCCTGAAACCCTAGATCATGATTTTCGCCCTTTTACCCCAAATTTCAAAATGGAAACCCTAATTTCTACTAAGTTTGGGCCTTGGGACCTCTTACCTTAGCTCAGCGTCGTCACTGCCATCATGCTTGGGCACGGCGGCGCCACTGATGTGTCCTCACCCCGACACCACCACCGTGCATCAGGACCCGTCGCGCCACCGCCGCGGATGAAGAACACGGCTCACTGCGACGCCTGTTACGGACCGCGCCACCTCGCCGGATTGCACGGAGGAGGCAGCTGAGGTGACGGCCACGATTCACCGCTGATGCCTCTGCGGAAGAAGCCCCGCCGGGATCGATCTGTGAGGGAGAGGGTGAGGGTGAGGGAGAGTTAGGAAGAGGGTGAGAGGGTCCGCCAGCCACTCACCTAGGAGATGAAGCTCCACCTTCAGAGCCGCGGCTATGGGCAGATCTGGGCCATCGTCGAGCAAGGGGAGGAGATCTGGAGGCTAGAGATCTGGAGCGCCATTGTTGCGGACGGGGAAGGAGCTGCGCTCTTCGCGCATGGTTGACGAGGTCACGAATAGGGGAGCAAACCATGAGCGTGAAGGGCGTCGCGACGGGGGAGGAGGTGGCCACGAGCGGAGCGCAGTTGTGAGAGAGAGGGGACGGGGGCGGTAGATGGATGGTGTAACAGAACCGACCAAATCATAAGAACGTAAGTACAAAAACAATCACCGAAGCGATCAAATTCCTGTACTTAAGCTCCCATAATCCCGGTAGTCCGGAAATCACGAAGGATTTCAACCAACTCTCGACATACAAACCAAGATCGTAATGATTCAACACAACACATCATTCGTTACAACATTTCACAAGTAGCATTCGGATTACATCCATCAGAGTTCAAATAAAATATTACAAACCAAGTTTGAGTGTGCGGAAGCAACATAGTTTAGTACATAACTTCATAGTTTCAATTACATTGCGGATCGAGTCATGTCCCACAAAAGCATTATCGTCAGTGCACGAGAACTAGTAGAGACCGCGCCCAACGGTTCTAGTCTTCATCCCCAAAGGGAGAAGGCGTGCTTGCAACAACAAAGAAGAACTGGTCATCTGCAATGTGGAAATAAACCACGAGTACGAGAAGGTACTCAGAGACTTTACCGACAAAAATCGAAATAAAAGACACCAAGGATCATGCGAGGCTTTTCGTGTGGGCTAGCTTGACACAGCTTGCATAAAAGAGCTTATGATTATAGTAACCAATTTAAACTTATTATCAAGCTTATCATTAATTACATCCACTAGATTAGCACTTTTGTACTAGAGCACTCGCTTATTAGGAGCAAACAATATTAACCATAGCAGTATAATAAGGTCATCATCATCATATCATCATTTCCGAACCATTAAGATATTAAGTGTATCTACATTGGAGATAAGCCCGTCAAGTTCTCACTAACCGGAGAGACGGCGATTGAATCGAATTACAACTCAGGTGAGGGGGTATTCCTAACTCTCACCTGGCATACTTTGCAAGGGTAGCCGTGGTCACCTTTGGAACATCTCAGAACCAAATTGCATGGTTCGATCAGGCGCCAAGACTCTCGAGGATTACCCTTCCGCCAGGACGATCAGGACTTTTAAATCACCTGCCCTTGGACTCACGCCTCGGCTCCTTCCGAGGTGCACTTTATACTTATCGACTCCCGCCGAGGTGAGCTACTCGGCCATGGTCGGTCATCGGACACGGCCAACTAAGAGAGAGGCATGTTCAACATGAACAGAAAGGCTCCAAGAATCAGTCCTTAAGGGACACGAGACGAGTCATCGCAAACCGGCAAGCCTCCGTCTGGGTCTTCATTTCAAATTAAGATCGTTCTTTTCCACGATAGCAAATATAGCCAACCGTGCCACATGTATCATCCTATATCTCGCAGGTGACAGGAAATCACCCGACTTCTACAGCGTTTAAGCGGGGCTAAGCATTACGCGAGCCCAGCTACATAGGATTCTGTGGTACAATATCTGGACAAGGAATGGGTAACCAATGCAACAAGTGTTTGCATCCAACACCTAAACTTAATGCAACAATATATGTAATAATAATCAGAATCGCAGTTCGGAAAATAGGAGGCTTAATATGCTCCGGCTTGCCTTTCACAAAGTTGCAAGGACGGTGGTCGGGGCACTCAACGGCGACCTCGTCAGCACTTCTCTGAAGGTGCTCCTCCCCGAATCTCCGGCGTCGGCGTCATTGCTGCTTTGCTTTCGCTCGGTTCCTCAATTCCAACAGGTTACTCCTTCCCAGACACCTATTGCATGCCGATGCACAAGATAAATATCATGGATGCATAAGGAATGACATGATGCTCATGATGAATGGATCACAATGGGTGTTTATGAAAACATTATTGGACACTTTCGTTTATGAAAGTAATTAGCTCTATTCAAATCACTTTAAGCATGTATCCAACTTAACTTAAATAACAAGAGCAACTTACCTAACTTGCATAACCTAAGATAAAGATGCTCATCTTCAGTTAAAGGCCTAACACCTAGGAACAGTACCATGAACTTAGAATAGTAAAGACATACTTAAAATAACAGTTAAACCTTCATATGCAACAAGTAGTAACTTAATTCTATCATAACCAGAGTTTTATAAATCCAAATGACTTGCAAGAGGACATTCTGGAAAGCTTATGAAATTCTCTACAGTTCACTTGCAAATATCAAAGCATGATTTTGAAGTTAACCAAATCAAATTCTAGTAGACCTAGAATCTGTCCAGAATGACGGGATTGCTAACTTAATTATTTAATGATGGTGCAAAAGCCTAATTTGACCAAACCAAGTTTACCAACTTGTTTTTCATATCTAAGAAACATCAGAAAGTATAGTGCTAACTTCTAAATAAATTATTTAATATCCTTTTCCAATTTATTTAGTTAATTAGGTGATTTAAGCAATATATAGCAAAACTATTCATAAAAATCTACAAAAATTACAGTAGCTATCTCATGCTGTACATAGACTACCATAAAAATTTCAAAGCCATTGGACCAACATAACTTGCTGTATCCAAAATAACAGATGACATGTCTATTTCTAGCATAATTAGGAAACCTTATTAAAAAGTGTCAAGCAACAGATTTCCCATTTTTCCTAGCATCCTTCTAGCATAAGAATAGCACCCATAAAATTTCACCTTCACTGGATCTATAGAAAAATTATGAAAATTCACACAAAATCCACCTATTAATAAAAGGAAATTCTATAACTTAAAAACTACACATGCACTAGCTCTAAAATTTTTACCAGAGCTTCACATAAGCAATAACAGACTGCCCACAAAATTTCATAATTTTTGGACCACAGAAACTCAAGATAAAATTCAAACAAGTTTGCATGCTTCTAAAAACACATTTCAAACTCCTATTTAATTCATCCAATTTTTCTAAAACATGTGCTCATATAATATTTTTGTTAAATACTAGACATGACCAGGAACCCAACAAAATTAGAACCACATCATTTGGATCTATCAAACTTGAGTTACCTATTTTTGAAATGGTGCACCAAAACTGTGAAAAATAGTTAAACAAAACAAAATAAAAATCTAACTGCCATCGGTGGGTCGGCCCAAGGAACGGTGGCCCACGAACGCATAAAGCGCCGCCCAAAGCCGACAGCAATAAGCAGCCAGTGCTGGGCTCCCGCTTGAGCTTAGCGATCGACGTCAGGGGGCCGGGCGTCACCGACCCCATCCGTCAATGCCGAGACGAAGACAGAGAGGACAGTTCACGGCCACGGGGCGACAGAAACTTCGCCGACGGTGAATCCTCCGCGAATTGGACAACACCGGCGTGCTCCCCAAGTTCCCACGCATCGATCGACCTACAAAACCGAAGCTCTAGCGGTCCTTAGGTGCTCCAAATGACGGAGCTCGGCGACTTCGGCCATGGCGCCTGGCGGCGCTTCGGTCGTGTCCCGGCAAGGTGGACCAAAGATTGGTGGAAGGATTTACACCCAAGCAGCTACTCGTGAAGGAGAAGGCTAAACGCGAGCTAAAAAGGGAGGAGGGGAACGGTGCCGTCTTGCCACGGTGAGGTCACGGGCGCCATGGCATGGCGCAGCCAGTGTCGAAAAGGTCACAGCACGACCTTACCCAAGTCTAATTGACGCCTTGTTGTGAGGTGGAGGAGGTGGAGTAGGTCACAGCGCATTGCTGGACGAATCAGTGGCAACGCGCTCTCATGGCGGCGAAGCGGCGGCGGCGAGCAATGGCGGACGGCGACGCCCCTTGCGCCGCACGGTGGAAGGCGAGGAATGCGAAATGGGAAAGGGCGAAAAGGCGTTTGGGCGGCGCGCGAGTAGCTTCAAAGCGGGCTGTGACGGCGGATTGCCAAGACGCGCGCGCGCAGCGCCAGCGATCAGCGGTCGGCGACGACGCGCCAAGACACGTCCGGCGTTTCTGAAGCTTCGAAACGGTCGGTCATCATGGCGTGCATTCAGTGTTCCCTTCTAAGCCTGACAACGATACTTTGACAAAGATTATTTCCTAATCTATAGTGATCTAGGCTATGCCGTAGTTAACAAAGTTGTTCATCTATCCTTGAACTACAACTCTTTCCACTGAAGCTCAAGCTGGTGTGGCTCGGTTAGGGAGATACAGGGCT